CTTCAGCCGAGCCCATCAACTTCCACTCATCAACTTCTAGTTATATACGTATCAAACACACTAACTCAAATAATAAATCGATTTAATCACATCTCAAAATACTCATAAAATTAGAAAACTTTACAATATAAAATATGACTACAATCGAGCCTAGCACTCATATTCCAAAAGAGTTTTACAACAAAATCTCAAACATCACACTAACTCATATAATTAATTATTTTAATAACATTTCAAAACTATAATCATAAAGTTCGACTTCTGAATCTACCTCGATAATATTATGTTGTGTGTGAGGAGGAAAAGACAAAAGTATACCGAAGAAAGTTAGGTAAGAGGATGGTGTAGAGAATAAGAAGAAGAAAACATATATATATATATATCATCACTTCAATTAAAAGAGAAAATGACAAATTAAAGACAGCTATATATAAAAAAAAATGCAATTCATGCACTCTATATAATTAGCATTGTGTCTTTTCATCTATATTGGATCAACATAGACCGCTCTATATATATGAAAAGAAAAATTGTATAAACATAATTGACATCATCATTTAATTTAAACTAATAAACAATATTGCTTGCACACATTATTCATTTCAATTTTGTTTTCTCCTTTATAGGATACATAAGTTTTGAGTTAATTAAATTCTCAAGTAACTATTCAATTTTGTATTATATAGATTGACTTCTTCTTCTTTTTTTTTGGGGGGGGGGTGGGGGTGGGGGGGAGGCATTTGTGATTAGGCTTAGACATAGGTTAAATGTCTCACTTTGTTACTATACATGAGATACAAATGCATTTTTTTTTGTTAATTTTATTTTGCTAGACATAGGGAATTAGGTTAACTTGATAGACTCACAATTGTTCGATAGAAAATTGCAAGTTTAACCATTTGAAAACAAATTCAAAATTCTCAACACAAACACTCAAACATTATTATAATTATTTAGAGTCAAATTATATAGTAATATATATACCACCTATAGTTTTGAATTATAAAGACAAGTACTAAGGATAGAGAATATAAAAATGGAGATGAGAAGTTTAGACTTTGGAAAGAAGATGAGAGAAACGTACAGTTTCTTTACAATAGTATAACTCTTCTATCTAACCCCTAGACCTATTTAGGGAAAACTTACATAAATCCCACTAAATTAGGAGCTAATTACTTAGACACAATCTAGTTTGTAATATTATGTATTCTTATCAGATTTTGATGTCTCAAGTTGCATCATCTAGATACATTAGGTCAAACATAGGTGTATTTGTTTCAGATACTTTGTATTCAACTGGATTTACAATCGTGCACCACCTTTGCCTCTCGTATATATGGTATCCTAGATACATACAAATACAACTGTGATTCACATGTACTTAAATACATATGAATTTCACTTGCAAAAATACATGTATTTAAATGTAAGATACGTATGAAACTCTTAATTGGTGATAAAATATATATTTTGAAAATATAGGTAATAATAATATATGTGGTAAAGTATATCATATTATGTACTTTTTTTACTATTTTACCACAATTGGGCTTGAATCCTATATAAAACTCTCTGGTATTTTTTTGGAAGTAGACCAAGTGAGAGCCAAAGCTCAACCACCACCAACAATTCTTATTAAGCACTAATATCAACCACTATACAATAAGATATTATCTATCGAGGGCGAAGTTAAGTAGGTTTTTAGAAAAATTCAATTATTTTTTCATAAATTTTATATTTATATTAGAAAATTAAATAAAAATATATGCATTTTAATTTGTAAATCTCCTAACAAAATTGACTGATAGCTCAATAATAAGGAAAATGCTCCGCCTTTGTTCCAACAACCATCATCAATCATCACCATCTCAAATCGACATACAAATAATTTAACCACTTAGAATATTACTGAAATATAGACCCAATTAATCTATCTTTTACCTACCTGTAAAATGTATTTATATTTTATCTCTATTTGGTTAATTAATTGTTCGCATAAAAAATACGCCTTCCTATTTTAATTAACTAATCATGCCTAAATAAGATGCGTCAAACTTATCCAACCATTATAAAAAGCATAAGATTAATAGTCGTTAAATATGTATTTTTTTAACAATAATTAACATTCTTTTATAATTATTTCTAAATTTTTTAGCAATATTAAATCTAATAATAATTAACTAATGTCGATAACTATTTTAACATATAGTGTTTATTTAGTGTATATACATACTTATTGCTATTTTTCTTATAGCGATTATAAATCCAATGATAAATTTGAAATTTTTAGCTCCGCTTCTAAAATGTGTTAAATACACTCTGCCACCTGTCATTTTGTTTTGTTGTACGTACAAAAAGACACATATTTTTGGGGTTTCCTATTTCCCTTTGTAGAAATTAAATGTGAAGCCATCAATTAACAGTTGTCTCCTCTAAGGGCTGACATACATGATTCCTCAACAAATTACTTTTTCAACAAAAGAATCCAAAACCTAAAACAACAATATTTTACTATATTTTATAAGAAAAAAAAATCATAATTATTATTTAAAAAATTACATAAATTGATATATTTTAATAAATAATTATTGATTTTAGCGATACTTTTTATTTATTACCATTTGCAGCAACATTATGTAAAATCTGCAATATGAAATAAAGGTGAATTATGTATGCAATATATATAAATTATAATTGTTTTATTGAAATATATTATGTTTTTTGATAAAAAAAAATTGACACGTTGTATTATAAATGTATTAAAATGTATGAAAAATGTATTATTCATCATTAAAACTTGAATGCATTAAAATTGTAATATAAATGAATTAAAACTGATCAAGTGAAAAAAAATTATTATTGCTATCAATGGTAAATATTTTTTTATCGTAGTATATTTATGTAAGTTTCCCATTATTATATTTTCATACTGGATGTCCATAATTATATAGTCTTTTTGAGTAATTTCGAAACAAATAATCTCAATGATACAATATAAATAATTCACTGCTCAAGTCTCTTTTGTCTTTCTTCTCTTTCTCATTTTATACAAATTCAAATTGTATATAATTGCTCTCTTTCTCGTTTTATGCAATTCGCTTAAATTGTATATGTATAGCGAATTATACATATATATGTTTGCTATGGAGCACAATTATGTAAATTTTACTATAACATATAAATATAAATTTTGTGTTTGTTATATATGAAAGTTGACATATAATATATCATTTATTATTTTGCAAATAATAGTTCAACATCCAGATGATAAACTTTTTAGCAACTGTAATTATATATTTTTCAAACTATTATTTTAGAGTTAATTTGGGCTAAGGTCCATTTGACAGATTGGGCTAATTTTTTTATTTTTTTTGGGAAAAAAAAATTTATTTTCACGCATCAAATAATGTATCAACGCATCAAATTAATATATCTCGCGCATCAAATTAATGTATCATGTATAAAATGTACATCAGATTAGTGTATCATCTATAAAATATAATGTATCTTACTTAACGATTAATGTATCTCGCACATCAAATTAATGTAGTACCGCTGATTTTATCGTGTCAGTTTGAGGGATTTATGTAATTATAAACTTATAAGGTACAAATGATAATTTTACCTTAAAAGTATGTGATTTATGTCCTTTGCCCCCTTTTTTTAACCCATTTAAGAAAAAATCTTTTTGGCTCGTTTTGAATAAGTTTGCTTATTTGTGGAGATTGAGAAATATAAATAGGACCGGCTTATGGGTCAGATAAAAAATAAAAAATTAAAATATCATAAGTCCAAACTCAAAATTTATTTAAAGTTTTAAATATTAAAATTTAAATACAAACTACGTTTATAATATATGTACTATATAAAATAATTTTTTAAAAAATTTCTAAGAATATGAAATATTGTCTTATTTTTGTGTTTTATTATTATTATTAGAAAACAATTAGGTTAATATTTTATTTAACTATTTATACTTTTACTTGAAATCAAACTTAAAAAATATTATAAAAATAAGTTTATTCGTGGATTTGATTAACAAGTGGTAATACTTATTTCATGTAATATTGTTTTATTTGATACTCTAATTATGACATCCCTTCACTCCTAGTCACACCTCGAAAAAAAAACCTATCAAATCTTTCTGACTCAAAATGATTCGAAATGTTTTCAAAATAATATTTTTTTATAATATAAAAATTATCATTCAATCAATTCATATATTAGAATGAGATGCTCGTAATTTTGGAAACAAATTAAGAGAGGAACATAAACAAGAAAATAGTGGGACGCTTTAAGTTTTCCATAAATTTTCTTAATCGTCAAATATCATTGAAAAAGAAATACGAAATACGTTAAATTATAAACAAATAATTATAAACAAATAATTATCTTAAAAGAATTATCTCACCCTCAATATGAAATTTGGAACAATTCATAATTTTATCTTAACCAATTACTCCCTTCGTGTCACGTGATACATTTCGTTTTCTAGAATTAACAGTTCAAATATTTTAAAATGAAATTTATATATTAATAAATTACGTAAAAAGTATTATAAGTCACAGTAATTGATTATTCAAAATATTTAATATATTTGATCAAACAACCATTGTTTTAAAAGGCGAGGCCTTTTATACAGTATAGGCCGAGGCGTATGGGGCGTAGTCATATATATTTGATGTTATAGTTTTAATACTAATAAAATAAGCAAAAGTAAATCTTTTAATGATTTATAATTTTTATTTGAGACAAGTATTAATAATCAATAACAAAGAAAAAAAATAATTTTAATTACTATTTGAAAAATAACATTATATCGATAGTAAAAATATGATTCAAAAGCAAAAGAAAATGAAAAAGTAAATTTAAAACGTCTCGACGTACATTTTTACGCGCATAACTTACATTTTTATACTCAAAGCTTATGCCTCATAACTTACATTTTTATACTCAAAGCTTACGCCTCAAATTCTAGGACTTAACCTACTGTGAATTACATCTTTTATTTAGATAGGTAGTAGTGACAACATTTTTCATTCATTTGTATCATGGCAATGGTGCAGAACTTGAGTTCCTTCAATCAATCCATAAAAATAACTCCACTAAAGATTCACATTTTCACTTGTTCTGTAAAACCCAGAAGACATTATCATTCATCTCAAATCTCATGTAATTATTATCGAAAATTGGTTTTAGAATTTGATCCCAAAATCCCAATTGAAGAAGCTATCACCCCACCAAGTTCTTGGTACACTGATTCTTGTTTTCACACTCATGAACTCAATCAAGTCTTCTTCAAAGGCTGGCAATCTGTTGGTATGACATTATTTTTTTGTTCAAAGATTAATATCTTTGGATAGTATTTTCTTGATTTTCCTGAATCTATGTGTGTGTGTGTTTTTTATTAGATTTATTAGTATACTGTAGCATTTCCATGTTATTGTACTTTTCACTTTTGATATCTATTATCGTTTACCATCTATACTCTGTTTGGATCATTGTTACTCATTGTTTCATCAATGTACTGTATTGTATTATACTCTATTGTATTGTATGATATGGTAGATACAATGTTTGGATAGATTGTATTGTTTCTCGTAATCTTTGCATTTTTTTTGTGTAAAGATTAATACTTTGGATAGTATTTTCATGATTTTCCTGAATCTGTGTGTGTGTGTTTTTTCTCTATCCTTCAGTTTTTTGAACTGTAATTATTAGATTTATTAGTATACTGTAGCATTTCCATGTTACCATTTACATTCTGTTTGGATCATTGTTAGTTTCTCGTAAGCTTTGCATTATTTTGTTTGCTAGTTGCTATGTTTTCTATACTATTTTCTTATTCTTTGTACTTGAATTTGCTGCTCTTGAGGCAAGTGGTGTTTCGTCAAATAGATCTACCTCAATGAGGTAGTGGTAAGGTTTACGTATAGGGTGGAAAAATCACTGTAGTTGGCATAGATGTTGGTATTTCAGTCTTGTAATATAGCTATTCTGTTCTACGAATGTGAATTTTCTTCAATTTCAGGCTACGCTGGACAGATCAAAGATCCCGGGCAATATTTCACTGGAAGGTACTGATATGACATCATTTCGTTATATTATACTCATTGATATATGTGAGATGCAAGTGATTCATATCCAAAGCTTTCATCACTTAAATCCCTCGTTCGTGTTATTCTTGATATGTACTTAGATGCCTATCTGTTCTGTTCAAGTAGCTAATCGTTGAAATACAGATTGGGCAACGTTGAGTATGTTGTATGTCGAGATGATGCTGGAAACATACGTGCTTTTCATAATGTATGTCGCCATCGTGCCTCTCCTCTTGCTTCAGCAAGTGGGAAAAAATCTTGCTTTGTTTGTCCATACCATGTAAGTTTTTCATTACACTCAGTTTTAGAGATTTCTTGATCCTTTATGTACTTGGACATTAGCCTCATTGATATAGAGGAGGAAGTACCATCCGTTATGCTTCATTTTTATCGTAGGGATGGACGTATGGATTGGATGGAGCACTTCAAAAGGCAACTCGAATAACAGGAATCAAGAACTTCAGAGTGAATGTATTATAAATATATGTTATAGAACCAACCACATTCTTCGTTCATTCTCTATACGTAAAACGTTAAGGTGTTTTGATCTTCTATATATTTCTGTATGAAGGATAGGAGATGGGACTAGTCCCAGTGAGAGTAGCTGTATGGGGACCATTCATACTTCTCAACTTCGAAAATGGAGTTTTGCCCGAAAATGAAGCTGATTTTGACTTGGTTGGAAATGAATGGCTAGGTAATTCATCCCAAATCTTGATTGATGGTGGAGTAGATTCTTCGTTGAGTTTTTTATGCAGACGTGAATACACCGTTGAGTGTAACTGGAAGGTTAGTTCTTTTCTAATCTTCGGCTTGGTAAAAAAGCATTTTACTATCTCATCGATTACTGATAATGATGATACGCTCAGCTAAAGTTTCGAACTTGAATCAATTCTAAAGTTTCAGACAAGCCTGTTCTATTGCAGGTCTACTGTGACAACTACTTGGATGGTGGTTATCATGTACCGTATGTTCATAAAAGCTATGCTTCGGTTTTGAAACTCGACTCCTACTCCACCACTGTATGCCTAACACCATCTTTGTCATTTGAAATCATCTTATTCCAATATCCGCTTTAAACGTTTACTCCAACTACTAATGAATCAGATACTTGAGAAAGTCAGCATCCAACGATGTGATGCAGAAAACGACCTAGATTTTGATCGAATTGGATCAAAACCAGCGTTATATGCATTCGTGTATCCCAACTTCATAATAAGTAGGTATGGTCCTTGGATGGACACGAATCTTGTACTGCCTCAAGGACCTCGAAAATGTCTAGTGATATTCGACTACTTTCTTGATTCATCTCACAAGGTACGTAAACATAGTACACAATATATGCTATCTTACTCTTTTAAGATAGTAAATTTCATCTTCTTTGCTTACAGAGTGATGAGAGTTTTATCGCACAGAGTCTCGAGGATAGTGAGACAGTGCAGGTACAGTTTCAACTTTTGTCATTGGCACGTACAATTCTCGCGTGTATGTAATCTGTATGTACGTATTCATACGCGTAAAGCTCATTACATTTGACAGATTGAGGATATGAAGTTATGTGAAGCTGTTCAAAGAGGCCTTGAATCACCTGCATACTGCTCTGGCCGTTATGTGCCACAAGTTGAGAAGGCTGTGCATCATTTTCACAGCCTTTTATATGAAAGTCTTTCTAATTGATCTACTTCTTTGCATTGATAAGATACTATTATCTGAAATTTATCGAGGTTTATGTGTTTGGAAGTATGACAATCACGAGCTATAGTGCTCTTTTCATCCTTCCTTTTTGATTCATTTATATCCAGAAGAGAATTTTGTTCTTGTGTGTTTGAGAGTATGACAATCACGTGCTATAGTGCTCTTTTCATCCTTTCTTTTTTGATTTATTTATATCCAGAAGAGAATTTTGTTCTTGGTCATAATTGTTTGTTCGGGAGTATGACAATCACGTGCTATAGTGCTTTTTTTATTCTTCCTTTTTGATGTACTTATATCCAGAAGAAAATTTCATTCTTGACCATACTTGTGTGTTCGGGAGTATGACAATCAAGTGTTATAGTGTGCTTTTCATCCTTCATTTTTGATTTATTTATATCCAGAAAAAGATTTCGTTCTTCACCATAATCTTAATTATTACATCCGTTAAAAGACACAACTCTTTGTGTTTACTCGAGTATTATAAAATCAAAATTGCGGAAATGAAAAAGAATAATAGTGTTATTTAGCATAAAAAAAATAAATGAAAGAAAAGAAGAGAATATAAAAAGGGTTTGAAATTCATTCAATTAATTTCAAACATTCAGATACTATTTAAATTATTTTGCGTTGTTAAAAAAGGTATTATATTTGTTTAAATATAACAACCATCGAATTTATAATAATATATAATATTGAATTAGAATTGTACTATACGTATCGTTTATATTTAATACTACTTTTTTCAAAGCTTGACCTCTTCTTCTCGGTTGAATTACCACTGTCTGACTAGTGACGGAGCCACATACAATTGATACAATTGACAGGTATCGATCAACATCCCTTTGCGCATCAGATTAGTGTATTTTGCGTGTTAAATTAATGTATTATATATAAAATATACATTAGATTTGTATATCTTGTATAAAATATTATGTATCTTACTTAACTATTAATGTATCTCGCACTTCAGATTAATTTATCAGCATTTATATTATTGTATCAGTTTGAGGAATTCTGTAATCATAAATTTATAAGGGACAAAAAATAACTTTACCTTAAAAATATGTAATTTTTGTCTTTTGTCCAAAAATATATTTATGTACATATATTATACATTGAAACTCCTCGACTTCTACACAATTTAACTTTTTTATATTTTCACTTATGATAGAAGAAAGATATATATAAGTAATTTGTATAACCATATATAAAAGTCACTTTCGAAATGACAAAATTAAAGGGTAATTCAATAATTTTCTCATATTAAACTAATTTTGTCCTTAAGCTAAAGGACTAAAACTAGTATATTATCTTTTCATATTTCAATAATAAAAATCTCAAATCAGTAGCAAAATTCAAGATCATGTTACTATTGTTTGGCCTGCAAAATACACAAATAATTTGAGCCTAAAACATATCCAAAAAAAAAACATGGTAGTGCTACAAAAATTCACTTCTTTTCATCAATTCAACAAACATAAATCATCTTCTATTCAATTTTTCACTTGTCCTGTAAAACCCAAAAAACATCATTTTTCATTTAAAATTTCATGTAATTATAATCAAAAATTGGTTTTAGAATTTAATCCCAAAATCCCAATTGAAGAAGCCATCACCCCACCAAGTTCTTGGTATACTGATTCTTGTTTTTACACTCATGAACTCAATCAAGTCTTCTTCAAAGGCTGGCAATCTGTTGGTATGACATCTTTTCTTACCGTTCATTTTTTACTTGTTCAGTATACTATTTCGATATGTCGAATCAATTTATAAAATCAATGAATAATTTAACATGTTAAGGTATATTTTGCCCTTGCTATTTAGATGACTCGTATTTAATATGAATGATTTGATAAAATTACTCAGTTATCAATTACTGTGTCAAAATCAATAGTGAATAACTATGGTTGGACGGACAATATCCTTGAAATTTTGTGTAAAGATTTTATATTGTATTTATTTATTCTTACTTTCTCTGAATTTCTGTTTAAAGATTGATAACTTTGGATAGTATTTTGTTCTTGCTTTGTCTTAATTTTTGTTTGAAGATTGATACTTTGGATAGTATTTATTCTTAGCAGCTCTTTAATTGTAATTTTTCGTGTGTCATGTTTAAGGTTATAAGATTATAAGACATTTTTGATACATTCTACCTATCTAGTTTAAGGCCACAAAATTCAAAAGTGTTAAACTTGACAAACAAATTGTAACGGAGAGAGTACTATTATACATGGGAGGGAAGGTAATACTTCTTCATTTGCAACTGTATCAGTAGTTGGTGTGTGTGTTCTTTTTCTCTGTGTTTGTGTAATTTTTCGTGTGTAAGTGTAGTTCTGTGATGGGAATAGAGAAAAATTTAGTGTAACGTTGTTGAAGTGTTTTGTGTATACTGTTACGAGAGCTCTTTTAAGGCATATTCGAGTGCAATCTGCTATATCTTAGACGCGATGGTAAGACACCTGATAACGGGGAACGAAAAACTAAGTCTCATCGTAAGCAATCTTAAACACACATAGTTATCATAGTGTCGCAACACTTGCATCAAAATAAACTTATAGTCTATAACAAAGTATTAAATAAAAGATATCTAGAAATATAAACCGTGTTCTCGAACATATGAGGACATACCAAGCGTCTTGAGAGAAATCTACCACCTAAGCTTCAACTATGTGGTAGTTGTATTGACAACAGGACATGTAAAAAGAGAGTGTTGAGTGTTATTCTGCTCTCTGATTTGTGAATTTCCTGCAATTTCAGGATACACTGAACAGATCAAAGAGCCTAGGCAATATTTTACTGGAAGGTGCTAATTCTCGTTCGTGTTATTCTTGAGGTGAACTTATATTGCCTTATTTGTTTTGTTCAAGTAGCTAATCGTTGAAATACAGATTGGGGAATGTCGAGTATGTTGTATGTCGAGATGATGGTGGAAAAATACATGCTTTTCACAATGTTTGTCGGCATCATGCCTCTCTTCTTGCCTCAGGAAGTGGGAAAAGCTCTTGCTTTGTTTGTCCATACCATGTAAGCTTTTTATTACTCAGTTTTAGAGCTATCTTGATCCTTTTAGCTGATTCCGTTTTCCTTGCTTCAGAAAATGTGAGTGAACTAGCAGATATTGGCTGTAAATCTAAACTCGTTCTACTCCACTAGTCATCATATAATGACATTTACTAGAAGAAGAGACTATTGGGGTAAAACGAGTTCAGATTTACAGCCAATATTGTTTTGCTTGCACGCATTTTGGTTACTGGTACGACCAGCATTTATAAGTTCATTTACCATTTAATACAGAAAGTAAAAATTAAGAGTTTCGACTTTGCGAGGTCCTTCATGTGTTAAGCTTGCAAATGAAATACGGTACTACAGTCAATCCTATTACAAAAGATATGCTAATTATTAGAGTATATGAGTTTTTATTGTTGTCTTGTGATATTATTTAACAGAAAATTTAAGATCTATTGTCTTAAATCCGATGTCGTTCAATGTATGATCTGAGTAAAGTAGATATCAAGGTTACAACAATAACATACCCAGTGTAATCCCACAAATGGGGTCTCGGGAGTGTGGTATGTATGTAGTCTTACCCCTTAATACCTTGTGAAGGTAGAAAGGTTGTTTCTGATACTCCTTCCGCAGGGATGGACTTATGGATTGGATGGCGCACTTCTAAAGGCAACACGAATAACAGGAATCAAGAACTTCAAAGTGAATGTATGTAATAAATTATATGTTATATTCTCAGTTCATAGTCGTTATGTATAATGTCAGGGTGATTTGATCTTCTATATTTTTCTATATGAAGGATAGGAGATGGGACTAATCCCAATGAGAGTAGCTGTATGGGGACCATTCATACTTCTCAATTTCGAAAACGGTGTTTTGCCTGAACAAGAATCCGATTTTGACTTGGTTGGAAACGAATGGTTGGGTAGTTCATCCCAAATCTTGGCCGATGGTGGAGTGGATGCTTCATTGAGCTTTTTATGCAGACGTGAATATGCCATTGACTGTAACTGGAAGGTTAGTTCTCACCTTATGTTTTCTCCTTTTATTAGCTTTGCATTTTAGTGTAAACTCTAGTCGAGAAAGGTATTTTGACGTCTCTGTTCTTACTATGATGATTAGCGTTTCATCCCAGAATTTCGAACTTGAATCAATTCAAACTTCCAAACCAGACTGTTATCTTGCAGGTCTTTTGTGACAATTATTTGGATGGTGGTTATCATGTACCATACGCTCATAAAGGTCTAGCTTCGGGTCTGACACTTGAGTCGTACTCAACCACTGTATGTCCAACATCAGCTTTGTCATTCTATATGGTTAACGTTTACTTCTATCGTTGCATTTAACTCCTAATAATGAATCAGATATTTGAGAAAGTCAGCATCCAACGATGTGAAACTGGTAGTGCGGGGAAGGACCAAGATTTTCATCGACTTGGATCAAAAGCTTTATATGCATTCGTGTATCCCAACTTCATGATCAACAGGTTTGTGCTTCATTAACATATAGATAAACCTCATGACCTGCAATACTTGTAAAACTAAACTCTTTAAACTTCACGAGGAGAATTTAGGTACGGTCCTTGGATGGACACGAATCTCGTACTGCCTCAAGGGCCTCGGAAATGTCTAGTGATATTCGACTACTTTCTTGATTCATCTGTCAAGGTAAACGTTTGTTTTTCTTATCTCAACGATAAATGTATTAGTTTGAGCAATTTCATCTTCTCTGTTCACAGGGTGATGAGAGTTTTATTGCCCAGGGTCTCAAGGATAGCGAGACAGTACAGGTACAGTAAAAACATGCATGATTTGATCGTCACATCAATTGCATATATACGATACAATTTTTGTATGTTTTCATACGCGCTCACTCATTATAACATTGCTGATTACAATGAACAGATGGAGGATATAAAGTTATGTGAAGGTGTTCAAAGAGGGCTTGAATCACCGGCTTACTGCTCTGGCCGCTACGCGCCACAAGTTGAGAAGGCTATGCATCATTTTCACAGCCTTCTATATGAAAACCTTTCGGATTGATGCATATTGTGAGATTTCCAGAAATTTTTCATGTTATATCAACAGCATTGTACTTTAAATGGGGTTATGTTATAGTTGTTTAATTCCTCATCACTTGATATAACATGTAATGTTTTATAAATAACAAGCTTTGAGGAGTTTGAAACTCAATCAGAACAGCACTGGGTGGGTAAGATATAGGATTCTTGTCTGAGTCGCGTGGATCACAAAATGGATCTATGATTTCAAGTCCACTCGTTGATTTCGACAAAATCAAATCAATTGGCTTTTTTGCTTAAATCGTTCATTCTCCCTCTCAAGTGGCTTTTGAAAGCTCGACAAGGAAGAACAAAGAAATAAGTCACAACACTATTCCCAAACTTGGGAGGCAAAATAGGGGGCCCAATACTATACGTCGTGCTCCCTTGGAACTACATATTATATCATTCATTCCTCCTCTTTAATGGCTTTTGAAAGCTCGACATGAAAGAGTAAACTAAGGTCAACACTATACCCTAACTTGAAATCCATCAAAGACTTTAGAGACAAAATATAAGGGCCCACACTGTACATCATGGAGCCTTATGACCACTACACATCACATCATTCATTCTCCCTCCTTTATGGCTTTTGAAAGCTCGACATGAAATAATAAAGAACTAAATCACGATATTGTTCCCAACTAGAAATCCATAAAGGACTTTGGAGACTATAGACGGCCCCATACTATACATCGTGGAACCCCATAACAACTACACATTAAATCAATCATTTTCCTCTCCAATGGCTTTCGAAAGTTTGACATGAAAGAATAAAGAAATCAACCAAAGCCTTCTAACGAATGCACGTTACATCGTCCATTTTACCTCCCCGGTGGCTTTTTGAAAGCTCGACATGAAAGAAGAGAGAAATGAACCCTAGAAATCCATAAAGGACTTCGGAGGCAAAATAGAGGACCTTATACTATACATCTTGCACATTACATCGTTCGTTCTCCCTCCCCAATGGCCTTTGAAAGCTCGACATCCTACTGCCTTAAGAGTGACTGCACATTACATCGTTCATTCTTCATTGTCAAGTGGCTTTTGAAAGTTCGAAAAAAGAAATAAGCCACAACACTACTCCCAACTCGAAATCCATAAACAACTTTGGAGACATTAACGGGGCCTGTACTATACTTCTACAACATAGCAGCACAACCGATGTTTGAATCACCTAACACTCTTTCAGTGGACTAACATTATACAGAAATGATGTGTACTCTGTAATCGCCACTGTCAAAATTGGCGAAAAACATCTTCCATCTTCTCATTGCAGAGGCAAAATAATGTTATAATCAAAAGTGCACATACAAATGGCATTAGCACAAAGGAAAATTTTTAGGTAATACAAAGCGGTAATGAAGAAGTTCCATCTTTATATGAAGAGCACAAAACGGCTTCCTCGACAAGAACATCAGAGTAGAAAAGAGTTGCAGGAAAACTAATATCTGCTGCAAAAGGTTGACTGCATCAAAACTTAAAAGACGCATATTCAAGATATATGATTATACTGATTCTACTACATCCACAAAATGAAATATTAGCGGCATATTCCTGTACAGCAGCGAAAGAAACACCACTCTCACAAAGCACGGCATACTTTTGGTTAGTTAAGTTTTGTGTATGTGTAGATGTCTATGAACACTCCTGTCGATTTCTTCGTTTTGGTAATTTCTTGGAAAAATATTCACTAAATGGCTTCTCAGGGACAGGTATCAACTTGCCAAGAACAGCAAGGGGCCAGCTGTTGAGCAAAAACTAACTTCACTTAGTACCGGAAAAAATTAAAGATCAATTATAATGCAGCGGAGAAAACCAGACTGACCTTATTACTCCAATGACAATGGAAACTAGCCATAATTGCCAACTCAATCTCACAGTTGAAGTGAATTTTCCAAGGAAGAATATTATGATAACCTAAGCAATAAAAAGATACTGTTATTATAAAAAGGTCGACGTTCAGTGCCAAAGAGAAGGATAGGGATGATGTATATTACCTGAAGCACCACTGTGAGGCCGACGATTGAAACAAATAGACGGTTTTTGAGGACTCCTTTGAACACATTCATCTCATCTGGCTTCCGAGCATTGAATTCATTGAATACCTGTGGTAAGTGTCATTAGCAGGGATTAAATACACAACCAACATCCTAAAAAGGGAAGAGATCAAATACTCCGTCCATCCAAACTTGGTCGCCCACTTTTAATTTAACAAGGGAAGAGAAGAAAAATATGAATTGTTAAAAATCTGTCGAGTAAACAGATGGAACATGTTTTGATGTTTTTATTGGTGAATGAAGGAGAAAATTATAACAAGGTAGAGAAGAACGGAGGCTAAAGTTATAGTAATGTTTCAAACATATTAGAATTAAGAAAGTGGACAACCACAATCCAAAAGCATAAGTAGGACAAATATCCTGGGATAGCAGACATGCTTGAGTTTGCACCAAGTACCCTCAATAGATAATCTTTCTCATGGAAGGAAAAAGACAATATGGAGAGTGCAAAAGCCAATCATAGGATAGTTTTTATCAGTTATATTCTTACTTGGCAGAAGACAAAAGCATTGAAAATCAAGGTGTTCTTCACTTCAATAGCCCGAGCACTCGTCTCATGATCCAAATGCAGAATTTGTTTACCTCGGAAATTGAGGACCAGGAGAACTGAAACTTGATACAGAGCCTGCAGATGTTCAACCAGGAGTATTAACCTCAAAACTAATATAGGAAAAATGTTTCTCATCTTGGAACATCGCTGTTAAATTTATTTTACCTGTATTAATAGGTTTCTCCACATGATATTGGTGACTAGAGGTTCCCTGAGATAGAATTAAACAAAACAATCAATTGATGATGCGCCCGTGAAACATTATAACTATAGGAACATCAGCTAGTAATAAAGAAAGAAGCTGAAAATAAGTTGATCCAATTGGAAAATCATTGCCTGGAGTTGCAAAATAGCTTCACCACTAGACGTGTTTAATACAAGATGGATGTACAAAAGTACCAAAGCATGAAGCGTCCTAATGGTGAAAATTAAAGTAGGAGGAGAATCATGAGGTCTCAAGTTAAAATCCAGCGGAGACAAAAGCACTGGGTGATTTCTTCCCTTCTGCCCTCTTAGCCTTAGTGGACAAAGTAATTGTTGCTGGTGGGAGGTA